CCCCAAAACCCCAAAACCCCAAAACCCCTCTAAACCAGCCCAAAATTATACTAAATAAAAATGGAAGTGCAACCCATCACTACTAAAAACAAGCAGAGGAGGAGGAACAAGAAGAGGGATAGGAATAATAGGAATAATAGGAATAACCCGAGAGGCAGTCAGAAGATTAAGAATGACTGGGAACAGGAACATAATGACAAGTTTATGAAGACTGGAAGTAAGATAGCTAGCCATGTAGGCACTGGCTTAGTAAGTGAATTCTTGGATAGAGGGCTACATGTGTAGGGTAATAGGGACGTATATAGCAGACAGAAGGCTTTAGCGAGGGAAATAAGCCACCAAGCTGTCAGAAGAATGGAGATGATGAGATGAAGCAACAGGAGTTTGAGCATTTAGTAGAAATGTTTGGCAAGGAAATCGAGCGAGAAGTTATCAGGATGTGTTGGGAGTCTTCGAATAGTGATTATGAGCAAACTATAATGGCTCTATCGTGTATGACTTGTCAGAAAGAAGATGAGAAGCAAGATTTTGTTGATTATTCTGAGGAAGTGCCACAAAGTTTCGAAAAGTATATAAAATTCTACAAATTTTATAGGTATTCTCAGTTTGATAATCCCTCTGAAAATTTTGAAGTCTCCTACAATGAAAATGATGTAGAAGAAAATCAAGATGCTTTTGAAGAATTTAAGATCGGTGAAGAATCCAAAGAGCATGAGGAAAATGAACTAGGTAAAGATGGAATTTCTGAAAATTCTAACGATCTTTAGGAGCTTCCAGAACAAATAATCCTTTCACAGATGCCTTCAATGACTTTAAATATCGTGAGCCTGATGAGGAAGAGATGAAAGAATCAAAAAGAATCGCTGATTCCTACATGGAGCTCCAAGAAAGAGAGGAAAATGAATGGTTTATGGAACAAGAGAAGAAATTATTGCAAACTCTGATCGATGATTGCCAACTTACAGAATATCTAGGAGGTATTATCCAACTTTAAAAGTTTTATAGAGGGTGTATTAGATGAAGAAACACTAAAATTGATCATTGAAACATCAACTTCTTCTCCAACAACTTCTCAACCAAGCACTAGTTCCTTAGAAGAGCCAATTCAGGATTTTTATACAATGTCAGGCAAGAAGAATAAAAAGAGGCGCAATAAAAAGAAAAAGAATGCATCACCAATGATTTCGGCTGAGAAGTTTATTCCCCAAATCCCGATTAACACCGAAAAACCATTTGATGAAACAAACAGTAATTTTAGTCTTAATCTGTGATATAGTTGCTGAAGAGGCTGTGGATTTCGCTAATGATTCATCCCTTCAATATTTAATAAGCCAACAAATATTAGCAGATCAGGAGAACAAGATGTATTCTGAATACCAATATGATCAGCAGGAGTTCCCATCGCTCCTCAAAGGTGATGACCTAAAGCACATCAGAAGGAAGAAAGCATTTGCAGTCAACGAATGGACCAAAACAAAAGGAACCCAAGGCTCCTTAGGATGTGGAGATGATCTTGAAGCAGAACAGATTAGAAAGATTAAGAAAGTATTTCCTGCTCTCCACACTGACATATAATAAATACTGCCTACATGCAGCTTGGGAATTCTCAATTGGTGATTGATTATCTGAAGATCTATTATAAGAGCAACTTTAATGAGAACCATAAAGATGTAATGAAGAGCAATATCAAACCAATAAAATCGAAAATTCCAAGACCACCTGCATTTGGAGGGAAACCAAGATCTACACCAATTGTGATTAAAAATAGCGAAATACCTGTGATTGCACATCACGACGATTATGACGATATCAGAGAGCAAGAAAAGGAGTATGGTGAGAAGATGAAATACCATTTCAACCTAGCTTCAAAGGCATACAGAAGAGGAGATGGTGCTACTGCGAAGAGAGAGGCTCAAGAAGGAAATCGCTATAAGAACCTCTTCCTCCAAGAAAGATACCTAAATGTGCACAGAACTTTAGCTTCTAAGAATAGTCACTTAAATAGAGCAGAATCTATAGATTTGCACGGGCTGCACAGAAACGAGGTTGAATATGTCCTTGAACACTTTATCAATGATATTCAATCAAAACTCTCTACAGGAGAGATCGTCCCAAACATGGGGGCTAGAAGAGGACATATGGTCACTATAATAACCGGTAAGGGAAACAACAGTAAAAACAACAAGTCGGTTATTAAGATTGAGGTAAAGGAATACCTCCGTTGCAAAGGAATAGGGTTTAAAGAGTCAGATGGATACTTCACAATTAGCATCGTCTAACAGTCAGCTCAGTTATAATGTTCAGCATTATTATATTAATTGGGGTTTTGGGGTTTTGGGGTTTTGGGGTTTTGGGG